CGGTTTGTCCGGGCTGCTACCTGCGCCGCCCGCCGGTGGGGGCAGCCCGTGGAATATTCGTACTCACAGGCAGAAATGGCCGTCAGTGTGTGTAGTCAGATTGGCATAGATACTCATATCTTATGCTTACACCTTTCACATGTTGTTGCTATCCCTAAACCCTAAACCATAAAACCCTAAACCGTCAATCTTCCTGTCATCCCTTTGAAGATTTCCGGGCCAAGGCTCCGAGCTGGCTCCCGAAGAGACCAGGAAGACCGGCGGGGGGATCCCCGGGCCAGTCGGGGAGCCAAAGCTCCAGTTCGGGTGCCCTTTGAATGATGCTAGCCACTTGGGTCTCCAGCCTCTCCTTGCGATCCGGACGTTCGTTGAGGCTCAAACAGGCAAACTTCAAGGTTGGCATGGGCAGCGAAGATCGAAATGCGAGCAGGGTGCCTTCAAACAGGTCGGAGTTCTGATTCTTGCTAGCAGCAGTGCGAAGATACACGAACCGTTGAAGGAATGGAAGCCCGGAATTGCGAATCGCTGTGAATAAGCTTCGCAATGTAAACTTGCGGTGTGGGTCCAAGATATCCAGGGCCACCAACGATCTCGACTGAAGAGCTGGCGTCAGGTTGCACGCATCTTCACCGATGTCTACTCGGACCAGGAGCTTCTGTAAATTCGGACAGGCCAAGGCTGACGCTAGCCTACCTGGCCCCATCAAGATCTCCAACCGCGGAGCCTGGGGTTGCATGCCAAGAGGGAGAAGTCCAGACAACTTATTCACATTCAGCACCCTCAGTCTGGCAAGCTCGAGTATTTCAGACATTTTCTCTCCAGGCATCTCTGCGATATGCAATTCGTGCAAGTGGGTGAATGTGGGCACTTGTGCAATCCAGCCAATGGTGGAGATGGCTATGACCTGCTGGCCGACAAGACCGCGCAGGGCTGGGCAGGCTGTACCGGACAGAACTCGTTCAACGCTTTCCAGGCTCATCGCCCGCCACTCCGGAGAGGTGGCCCAGCTCTCGGCAAGGAACAAACAACCCATCCCACAAGCCAGCAAGCGGACAACCTCCCTAGGATCAAGCCAAAGCTTCGCCACAAGATGCAGGCCAAGGAGCAGGGTGGTGGGTGGAGGTGGACCCGTTCTGTACAAGTCAGCCTGCTTCTTCAGCAAGTCCAACAGAAGCGTCGTGGAAACTGTGTGGCAGCGCTCCCTGCACTTTTCCTCTGCCAGAATGACTTCATAGATCGAGCCAGCAGAATTGAGCTCCCGCCAGAAATGGGCCTCCACCTCACACAGGTTCTGTCTGTAAAGATCCTGCAAACTGGACGGGGAAGCCAAAATGCCCATGCTCCGTGCTTTGTCGGAGATTTTGCTGATCTCATCTTGGATGGGCGAAGATGGAAGCATACAGGACGGTGCCTCCGGGCCGGAATGGCGCCAAGCGCTGCCCGAAGCCTTCTAAAACCTTTCTAGACTGAAGTCCGCTAGCATATGCAAAGTCTAGGCCCTCGGCTTTGAGGCTCGCGGGTACCACTTCATGCAGCAGGAATAGTACGAAGCCATGAAAATCTGTCGACACCGGGAAACTAGTGGCTGCGGTTTGTCCCAAACTCTGGGAGCTGCGCAGCACAAGCATCTATGAGCAACATGCGAGTTATTAACGTCTGCTGCTACTGTAAGCTCCTGGACCAACCTAAACAGATCCTGAAATCCGAGCTCCGTTCGCTTCAAGTGAGACCCGACACCTCGAACACCGCATCAAGCAAGCCTACAAGGACTCACGCCGTCAAAAACCTGTCGCCCATCGAAGCTAAGGTTCTGGGAGATGAAGCTGTGGGCGACTGGCTCAGCAGAACCGCGGCGGCATTGATGCCTGCTCCTTCCACAAGCTTCGAGAGTGTGTGTGTGTGTGTGTGTGTGTTTGTTTGTTTGTGTGTGTGTGTGTTTGTGTGTGTGTGTGTGTGTTTGTTTGTGTGTTTGTTTGTGTGTTTGTTTGTTTGTTTGTTTGTTTGTTTGTTTGTTT